TACATACAAAATTGTTTTAAAAATATTATTACCAGAAAAAATTATTTAAAAGTAATTTTTTTGACAAAATATGAGCAAAAAGATGGCATTCTCCTTTCATGAAAAGGACTTCGTTAATAATATTTTTCTTATATACATTTAAAACTTCTATAAAGAACCTGAACTAGGATTTTTGAAACATACAATTTAGAAGTGAATTTATTCATATTTTAATATACCAGAGTAAAGAAAATTTAACAACACCCGTTATTATTTCAATTGATCGTAACTCGGAAAATAACATGAATTTTTATAAGAACCATGTTCAGCTCTTGTGTAGAAATCCTAGATGTATATAGATAAAATAAAATATTTTTCTAGAAGCATATTGATATAAAGAGAATGGTTTTAAAATAGTTTCTTTCTCTATTTTTTAGAAAAAAATCGCATTTATAATTTTTTATAGTATTCTTGAAATATATATATATAGTTTTATATTTATACTATTTATACTCTCACACACACATTCAACGCACTCTTAAATATTAAAAAAATATTCATTTATATGTTTTTTCATAATCACGGTTCCAAGCGTAATCAGTCACATGAAACTTTTTCACTTATATTTGATACCATGCTTCAAATATTCTTTATTGGACAAAATTTTAAATTTATAATAATAACACTAAAAATATAGCTTTTTAATCAGTACTTATAAATGAAGCCTTACGCCCAGCAAGTCATGCGCTTAAAAAGTATTACTCTTATACCCGTATTAATCGACGATGTCCAAGCTCTTATAATGGAGCTGCGTTAAATGATTTGGTCCGTTGAAGCGGAATATGAAAAGCGAAATGCTCGTAACTTCCGTGTTTTCTTTCGTGTAATTCGAGGACTGAAACTAAATATGCAAGTTTCAGTGTTTTAAGACAATTTTTTTTATTGCTAATCAATATACTTATAACGAGGGGGGATATATTACATTTATAAAAAACTACAGTAAATAAAGATAAAATATAAAATAAAGTTTTAGATTTTGGAAGTAGTATGTATGTATACAAAGAAGCAGAGCAAAACAAGAACTTGCCATTTTATTTTTATTCAGTTTAAAAATAAAATTGAATAAAAATTTGCAACTTCATACTTCCGTAGCGTGTGTGTGCAATTGTTGTGCTATTAATTGATATTCTTAAAATGCTATATTATTAAAATATTTAATATTTTGTGACTTAAGTAAGGAGATTTTTCCCTCTGTATTTCTTTGTGCTTCATAATTGGTATTTTTTTAAACGTTTATAATTCCCTGTTGTACCACAAAGTATCACTTGGGGCATACAGAAGTCAGTATGAAACACACATTGCAAAGGGGGAAAGAAAAAAATAAAGTCACGAAGGATTACAAATATTTACAATAAGTTTACAGAACTGTTCAAAAGCACTTCTTATGGAAATAAGCTGGTGAAAATTCGGAAGCCAATTTATCAATTTATATTAAACCTTTTGAGAACCAGTCTTGGATCTTTCTTTCTGTGAGAAACTTGGAACATAGAAAGAACACGTGTTCTACATTTTCCTCGCCACCAATATTACAATCTCAGGAAGATGGCGGAACGAAATTAAATGTGTTAAAATAACTTTTAAAGTTACCATGAGCAGGGAGAAATTGGATTATTTTGTAATTGGTATAAAAATGATGGCATGACAGCCTTTTATTAATGGTTGGAAAAAATTTCTTCTTAAGATAACTAGTCAAGATAGTAAAAAGACATTAGTACATTAATACTGCAATATATATATTGTGTAGTACTAATGTAGAAAATCCAATAAGTATATTATTCGTAGTAAAAACCAGGTCTTTTGAGGGGAATGTGATAAATAATGCATTGTTCATTCGATGTTTTGTTCAGTACGATTATGTAAGTTTATTATTTCAGGTTTTATAAAATAAATTTAAACCACAAACTATTAAGTAATTTGAATGTAATATAATATAAAAAGTAGGAAATTATAAACATTAACATAATGTTCATAATTTTAAAATTTAACTACTATAAAAATTAACCAAAGTAATTTTTATAAAATGGCTTATAGTAATTGCTTTAAAATAATTATTAATTTTATTTATAAATTACGTTCAATATTTATTACATCAATTACATTACATTGCATACAAGCAAAAAAAGTGAAGACAAATTACAAATGTAATAGTATAACATTTCTAGAAAATTATTTATTTTGGCAGGAATATGTACGTGTATGTGTATTCTTTTTATATTAATTATGAAAATAATTTATAATGTCTCCTTGTCTTGTGCCTATGTAAATGTTCTTGGTTATGAATCCACAAAAAGAAAATTTTCATTTAAAGTGAAAAATTGCTATGGTTTATATATATATATCAAAGATTATTATTACATGTGTTTTTACTCGCAGGATTTTAAATTTTTCCTTAAATGCCACATTCAAACATATTTTATGACTATGAAAATTATTAATTCCTTAGTGACTTGTTTCTTAGTTTATTTATTTTGTCCAAACTTATACAAAAATTAAAGGTACTTGTATCATCGTTAGATCATATTATATATATATCATATATATAATATGATCATATTATATTTATCATATTATATAATCATATTATATTTTGTATCTTGTATCATATTATATTTTGTTCTGCTCTTTTCGTCTTGATATATATTAATTTATTTATTATTATATATTTTTAGAATGGATAATTGGAACTGTTATGATAGGTACAGATATTTAAAATCATCATATAAGAATATAATTTTATCAAAAATACAAAAGATGTTAGCTATACAACTTTTGATAAGAATTCTTCGCAACATCCTTCAAACTCTCGTTTCGATTTTTTTTCTTCCAAATTATAAAACTTCGCTTTCTGGAATACTGAGTTTCTCAGGTTTTCTTCTGATACAGCAAGGAAATTATTATTCGGTAATAGGATAGACTATAAGCACAATGCTTCTACATTAAGTGATATATCTATTCCGGGGTTTTGATCAATTGGATCTGAGGCTCAGGATTTGCCTTGATAAGAGATACAAGACTTGTGTAATGATGAGCAAATAAAGAATTGATCATAATCAGATTTTACACAAATTGTAATCCTGGAAATATCATAATGTGCAAACGGATCTCTTCAGCACCAAACATCTGATTAAATGAACATAGATCCGACAAAAACAATCTTATTCTAATAAAAAGATTCTGGTTAATTTGAAATTAAACATTTTATTTCATATGGATTTCATAATATAATAATATGTATGATTGAGTGGGTGTGTCTGTACTTAATACAAGAATGTTCTTCATACAAGAAAGGATCATAAGTTCGAAAATAATTTCGCTGAACTTAGTCACTTCTTATTCTTCGTTTAATTTGACCTTTCTACTTAATTTTGAAATGATATCTTGTGAGGTTTTCTTTTTAAAACTAACGTGGGGGACTATAAATCTCGAAGTTTCTACGATATTATTACAAATTTTAACACTCATCCTCTTGCCGAAGCAACGTGTTATTAATTAAATAAAGCGAATTTATGTAAAGTAACAGTAAATGGTTGCAGCAGAAGAGATCTGTGAAAGTTAGTCAACAATTAACGGGTTTATTTCATCAAAATTATATCCACTGCTTCCTTAAAAGGTGGACTCTAGATTATTGAGTTAAGGATTATTAAGTTGCAGATTAGGAGTTTATATTTAATTTTTATTCAAATAAATTTGTGATGCTTAAATGATAAATTCAAGACTGCATCACAAACTGACTCGATTTTTATAGGTCCAACCCCTATTTCAATAATTTTATAATATTAAATACAGTCAAATTCTTTTCATTTTACTTAATCACAATTTTTCGATAACTCTATCCTTTTTAAGAAGCTTTAAGATCCTGAGGATTTAAATGTAGACAGAGTTTGTTATTTTGTAACTTCCCATGTGTGTGTTCATTGCTTTCTTTAAAGATTTCAAAATATCCTCGCGTGAATCTTTAATAAGAAAAAATAGAAATACTTATCTCAATAAGAAAACATTTTTCCATTTTAAATGACCTAAGCAAACTGTTTTAAAATATTTCTCGTCAAATTCTCAGAGGAAGTTTGAAGTACTTCACATAAGCACTTCCTTGTGTCTTTTTATACAAAAAGTCCTTATTTTAAGACATATTTTTATAATAGTTAAAGCAATTTATAGTATTTTAGAAGTAATATAATGTTTAATCTGACTTGTAATTTTATAAATTCGGTATGATCTTCAGTTTCTTAATGCATTTAAGTATTTTAAGAGACATATGCTACCTAAATTAGAAATTAGAATTAGTTCATTCATTCAGATTGATGTTATAAGGGTCAATTAAGAGAACTTCTTAAGTATAACCTCTGAAAATACAAAAAAATAGCAATTTTTTTTTTTAAATTTTGTGTTTTACAGTGGGAGCTAAAGTTGTATGAGAGAATACAATTTTTGCGTGCATCAAATGATATTATGAAACAGACGAGTTGCAATTCATGCCATATAAATCTCTGAATAGATGGAACTGGAACATAAAAAGACTTGATTCCCAGAATCCAAGTTTCGTGGTAATTTAAAACAATTCATTTTAAAATGTGCATACGTTTATGCACTATTCATTCCCTTAGTCATTGCATTTGAAAGCACTAGATTGATGTAATGAAAAAGATATATTTCAATGAGCTGAAACGAACAAGTAATATAAAAAAAATTAAGTCAATTCCTACTTAGGTCAGCAAATAAAAATTTTACATTAGTTACTTTTTATTTAATAGTTACAATTAATATAAATATGTATATACATATGACAGAATCACAATATTAAGTGACAAAATTGAAAGCGTTTTTACTTGCACTATTTTCCATTTTCCTATCTATATATAGTGTTGGACTATTTTTATGTTTGTTACTGTTTTTTCATTAAAAAAATATTCATTCAAAAAAACAGTACGGTAAGAAAGAAATTACATTCTCAGAACTTAGGCCATCCAAGGTGGGATTTGAACCCACGACCTTTGGATTAGAAGTCCAACGCACTATGCACTGCGTTACAGGACACAACGAACGATTTTCCTTTCTATATATGCTGTTGTATTATTATTTTTTTACTATTTATTATTTTTTAAATTTAATTAATTAAATATTTAAAAAAACTGTATTAATATTGTGTCATCAACTACAAGTTTAAATAAATGTATTTGAACTTGAATGGATGAATAGAAAGTATTTTATTAACGATTAAACTTTGAACAAGATATATATATATATATATATATATAGGGAGAGAGTGAAATAATAGTAGGAATTGTGTGTGAAAAAATAATATTCTTTTTTATTTCCGCTTTATTTCCTCAAACTATGAAGCAAATGCAATATTTATACTTAATCTTTCTTTTGCATCTTGTCTTAAGTTTGACCAATAATTTTAACTCTTTTGCTGTCTTTTTTTATGTTTAAACAGTGTCTAAAAGGTTAGATGAGAGCCCCAAACTCTAGTTTTTATAAAAATATTTTTTTTATATATTATACAGTTCTTACTTTTTACATTTTTTTCTAACATTAGAATATAAAAATAAAGATTGCTAGCAGCAAAAATTCTTAAATATTCTCACAGCAGTATATGTCTCAGTTTCTAATAGTTGAAATATGATATTTTGCTCAAGCTTCAAAATTGACACATCATATTATTTTATATAATTCTAAATAAATAAATTTGTTAGATTAATTTTTTTCTTCGAAGTCTCCTTCCATGAAATAGTGGCAACTGTGCAGTTTGAGCAATTCCCTCTACTGTGGCATGAAACAGAGTGGTAATTTTAATTAAATGATCAATTTTTAAATTTTGTTCCAAATAGGAAAAATTTTATTCTATATTATATACACTAAACAAAAGTATGAGAAGCTCTGATGGGAACAATCATCACAAAATATTTAAAAATTAAAATTAAACTCATTTCTAAAATACGAATTTCAGAAATTTATATCTCATAATTCTTTAAGCTATATTTTCCGCTGACCCATAGTCATATCCCCCCCCCCATCTCACTTTTTTTAAGTGAAAATCTCACATTTCGTTTTTCCTTTCTTATTTTTAAATATGACTGAGAGCTAATGTTTAGGTAGCATACTTATAAGTAAAATAGCCAATTTGTTCAGAGAGAAGACACCAGTTTTATTTACCAAGATTAATATGAAAAATACAACTACTTTTCAAAAAAAGTGTGTAATTCAAATAACGGGTACTTTCCACCTAATTTAAACGTGTCAAACTGTTACAACTATCTTGATAGGCGAATGAAAGTCGACAAGAAACAAAAGGAAATAAAAGGGAGCGAGAAAATGCAGAAACCGCTACGTTATGTCCCGTTACCATGACAACTCATAACTACACAAATGATTCGGATAGGCGTTTAGGAAGAAAATAAATTCTTCTCTTTCTCTCAAATAAAATTCCCATGAAACTAACCAATGAATATTTTTTCCCCAGATTTTTCAATGCAGATATCCCAAGAGAAAAATATAGTTAATTACTTCTACAAATCGAGCTGTTGCAGAATGAAAAATTGATTGTGACTCGGTTGGTGCTATAAATACAGCAATGGAATTTCACAGAAATGGGAGATTTCATTCTTTAATCACTACTTATTGATTCTGTAGGTATTTATACTCAATGGGCTACCTTATAAGAAATTTATGCAGGCTTTAGGTTACATCAATTACCAGAATTGCTCTGAGGTAAAAGCCCTGTTGTAAAATATAAGGAAGGCTTTGAACCCTAAATACTTTTTTGGAGGCATTTGTGTTTTTTTTTCCATAGAAATTAAAGGTATTAATAATTCATGAAGTGAGCATTTAACAGTATTTTGGAAATGCATCAATGTATAATTTCTGAAAGCAGAAATGTAAAAATGAGTTTGGAATGCATTTATTAAAAAAAAACTTGAAAAAAAAAAGAATTAAAGAAACATAAGGAAAAAAAATTTTTAAGGTGGTAACAGGTTTAGAATTATACTTATATATACTTATAAGTGTATCAATATATATATATATATATATAATCTTAAAGTAATGTACATATGTATATATTTATATATAGGTTAGGATCCTGTAAAGCAAGCTTACATCCCTATTTCACTGTCCTAATTCAGTGACACAGCTCTAGAAAACATTATATAGTTTTCCATTTTGATCTATTAACTTTCTTTTATGTATACTATATTATGGTGAGTTTTTAATAGGTTTTTTAAAATCCAATTTTATTCATTTTTAAAATTGGTGGAATTACAATTTGTCTTTTATTGTGTATGTGTGTGTGGTATGCATGGATGTTAAGTTTGTACAAGTGTTAAAAGGCTCCTTCAAGAGTCAATTTCAAATTTTATTTCGTTATTTTCAAAACACAGTCCTAATTTTTTGGAGAAATATTCAGGTATTTGTATGTATGCATATATGTATATATGTAGATATATATGTTTACATATATATGTTTATATATTATGTATATATGTAGATATATATGTTTATATATATATATGGAAGAAATTTATATAAAATATAGAACATAACAGGAAATACTTAATAAAAAAATGAAGATCAAATCTAATGAAATACAAATAAGAACCTAGCGAGTCAAAAAGCAATTTCGGACTTAGGACCGAATAAGTGGGGTTAAACTAGTTTGAACGCGCCAACCTTCCCCCTTTGCAACTCGGTTGGAAAGACCAAAATAAAATAAATAGAAATTTAAAGTATAAAAATTCTAAGTATAAAAAAATCCAAAGTATAAAAAATCTCATAGAAATATGAAAGAACAACCGACTACTATTAAGCAAAAAATTCTCCCAAAATGTTTAAGCAGAAAAATATCAAAAGAATTACCCAATAAAAGGATTCTTCCAAAAAGATTTTTCAAAACTTCTGCTCACAGAGCTTATTCCAGGAGATCCAACAGTCTTGAAACCGATGGAAAGCTTTTATATGTTGTGATAAAAATCTAAATTGCACTTAAACGCATCCTTTATACCAGCTTGTAAGGAAGACGCCAAGAAAGATTACAATCAAATTTGGTAGGCTATAACTTGGTTGGTTGTCACAAATGTAGAAAATTGGTTGGTTGTCAAAATGTAGAAATTTGGTTTGGTTGCCAAAAATGTAGAAATTTTTCATTTTATAAGATTTTTAAGAAGGGTGTGGAAAAAATATAAACTGTGTGAAGAGTGTTAAAACAGAATCTTCACAGCAAAACCACTAATATGCTGACTTTGAGATCCTATTGTTGTATGGTGGTTTTGAAATCAGAAATAGCAAGACGATTAATGTATTTGTGATGAATATATGTTCTTAAGAAGTTAAAAGGATAGTCATGATCTAAGCAGCATTGGAAGAATTTCTTGATATTATTAAATTTATCTATTTTGTTGGTAGTTAAGTTATCATTCCTAAGTAAAAAATTCAAAACAATATTTCTGTAAATTGATAGATGCAAATTACTGTTCCATACAGGAATTTTAATTACATGGAAACTAAAAGAATCTCTTTTGTCATAAATGTTACAGACTACTCTATTGTCAATAAGATGCAAGTCTAAATCCAGGAATTCAACCATATTAGAGTTAAAATTAGTTTTAAGAAGGTTGAGATTGTCAGGGTAGAACATAATATTTGGTTTGAATTCACTATTTTTACCAAAAATTATTATATCATCTATATAACGATAAAGTAAGAAAGATTCATTAAAAATATGATCAATTTCAAAAAAATGTAAATACAGGTTAGCTAAACTATTACTGGCAGGACCACCCTGAGGTAATCCTCTGATCTGTTTATAAAGATTCTGATCAAATGCTATGAAATTTTCTTGTAAAACAAGATTAACCAGGATATCAAATTTTTCCTTTTTCATTGAATTATGCAATTCATATTTATCATAAATTAAATGTAGAACTCTAATCATATCATCTATATCAATAGAATTAAAAAGGTCCTCGAAGTCAAAGCCGTGCATGGAAAAAACTGTCATATCCTTCGTGACTCTAACAATCTCTAAGCTATTTTTAATTATTGCTGTGTGTTGAAAGCTATCGATAGTATTTTGAAGAAGGGATTGTAAAATCTTCCCAGACTTCGTTATATATGTATTATACCCATTAGTAATACTACGGAATTTTATTGGACTTTTGTGGAATTTTGGTGTTAAAAAAATTCGTGGGTATTTAATAGTTTTGAGATGAATATTTAATCTTTTGTTTAAAGCCAAAAGACGATTATCATCTTCTCTATTGCTGTGAATCGACTTTTGAAATGCATTATTCTTTAAAATATGATCACTTAATAATTTACTATAAAAATATTTACATATTATTGCATAATTAGCAGAGACTTTATCAACATAAGTTATCACGAAATCCTTTTGAATATTATCTATCGATACTTTAAGGTCTTTATACATAATTTCATTTTCAACGTTGAAATCCAATTTTCCAATTTCTATTGCTACAAGAGATCTAAATTGATTGAATGCTTCTATCGGCATTCCGTATTTAATAGCCATTTTAAGGTAGAAAGTATCCAAATCTCTTGTGATTTGTTTTACAACGTTGGATTTATTTTTTGTGATCATAAGTCTAAAGCCAGTACCTTTTTCCATAAAATTTCTCAATAAATCATCTTTTACAATGCCAAGGTCTCCAGTGACAACGTGCTGATGATATTCATCGATATAATCACAATATAAATAGCATTTACATTGCTCCGGACATAGGAGCTCCGAAACTTGATTATAATTGAAAATAAATCTGCCAAGTTTCTTGTTATATTTGAAAGCCTTTTAATAATAATATTTTTAATAGGAAAAAGGATTGATATTTCTGAAATATACCTGAAAAATTAATTTTGTTAAAGGATTTATTCATAAATAACATGGTACAATATTCTGTAGTGTAATTTTCTACTGCATCTAATTTGATATTCATTTTTTGTACTAGATAATTATTAAGATCTCTAATCATATGCATACCATGGGAATCCAAAAACTTACATCTGCTTAAAATATCTGTCA